TGTGTGTGTGTGTTCTGCCAGATTGGCGTGCATGTCCGGTTATATGAGTGGGAGTGGTTCTTGCGAAGTGTGCTGCGAGGCGTGTGGAGGTGCAGTGCTGTGGATGGAAGGTGAGGGAAAGAGAGATGAGGGTGGTGTTGGGAGGCGAGCCATTGTCAGGCACCGATCACAACCGATTGTGGGAGAGAAGGTGTTTAGGCGTGAATGGAAGGGAGATGTGGTGGTGGTGGTGGTGGTGGTGGAGGAGGAGGAGGAGTGGAAGATGGGTGGAGTGATGGGTGGTGAGTGTTGGAGCGATTGCGTGGGGAGGGGGGAGTGGGTGGGGGGAGGGCAGACATCAAGTGGGAGGGGGAAGTGGAGGTGGTAGAGGTCGCAGAGGTGATGTGTGGTTTGTGCTAGGTGGAATGCAGGAATGGATGGGAAGGAGGGTGTCCGACTTGTCACCACCTGGCATGACGAGTCTTTTATGTGAGTAGCACATAAGGGAGGAGTTGGTGGGCAAAATACAAAGGCACATAACTTATAAATCTTTTCCCGTAACTCACTTTCCTATGTTTGTACTTATCAAATTTTACAAGGGATTTCTATTCCTCTGTCACATTAAGCAGTATTGGTTTTCAAAAATGCAAATCCACGTTTATTATTGTGTTAATACGGTCCAACCTATTCTTTATAATTCAAAATTTTGCTGCCAAATCTCTCGCTACAACAACGGGATCATGACAACAACAGCGCTGCCGACTCAAGTCCTCTTGTGCCGAAGCTCGTACTTCCAACTTACCTATTTTGTGATACGAAAGAAATTTCTTCACCTTTTTCCACCCTCTTTGGTGTCCTTTCTTCATGTGTTACGCACCACACTTTAGTGGTGTCTGGGCGTCGACCAACCAATTACTTGATAAAAATTACGTTTAGAAATGAAATTAATGCAGCGATGATGGTGACTAGAGTCGGGGTTTTTTTCTGATAATTAATCAACATCTCCTTTTTTGGTAATATCGTTTGTGTCACTGAATGATTTTATCGTTTTTTTTTACAAAAGTACTTCATCAGATGAGGTTGTCTTTGCTTTTCACATCCAATTACACTTTATAGGCGAATTGCAGTCCTTGTTGATCAAATAGGGACAAATATTTTGATTTTATCCCCTATCAGATAAAATGCATCTACATTTACCCAAAAAACTGACAGAGCTTCTTCTTGTTTTGTTAGATGACTAAGTTAGTCCACAAGAATGTAGTAAATGTGTCGAGATATTATTTGTGCCTCTGCGTTTGTAGACCCTTCTGCGATTTCCTTCGCCTCTCCCCTTCACATCTTACCATGAGAACACGTCGGGTCTGTAGGTTAGACGCGGTTGCTCACCTTGCAACCGTGTCATTTTTTATTCATTCGCGTTGCGGTTTCAGCCTTTGTGCTCCCCTTCTCGCCCCAGTCCCCTTCCCCAGCACTGCACCTCCGTACCTGCGAAAGGACGATAGCATCTCCTACATGCGCGCCATTCACACGTCCCCAATTGTTGTTAGTGTTGTTGTTGCCTTCGATGGCGTAGGCCTCTGTGTGGGTATTTGCGAAGGGGACTTTTCAGAGTAGGCAGAACCACCTTTATGTCCACATAACGGTAACACACAACAGTGTGCTATCAGACCTAACAATCACCCTCCGATCCAGTGATAATATGGACTGTTTTGGGGTTGAAAAAGGAGATTCTAACCGTTAAAACTGCATTTACATCCAAAAAAGTGCTCCATATCAGTGGTCCTAGTAAACTTAACAGCAAAAACAGCCTCCCCTGAGTTACATAACCAACCGCCATGGAACAGGCAGCAAATTACGAGGACTTTTCACTATATGGCGTAAAGAAGTTGGTTTGTTCACTGCCTCTAAACCTTCTTCGTTAGCGGTTTTAACCAACTGCTTCATTCACCTAAATTTTCGAATACCTTCTTCACCTCTTAAAAAGCCTCCTTTTTATCCACTGGTTAAAATAGGATTTGGGCTTAAACCATCTCATTTATAAAAAATAGATGTTTAGGTAATTCAGTAAGGCATCCGTACATTTTCGGTTTTTTATGAAAGCATTAGTAGTGTCAGGTGTTACTGAAGGGCTGTTGTATTTGTTTCGATCCATTTCCTGATGTTTAGACTGTAGTACGTTTTCATAAGGAGAGCTGTACGATATCTAGGAGGCGAGGAGGAAAAACGACGATAAACTCCTCGCCTTCATCAGTTAAACACCCCTCATGGGAGGCTTGTTGATAGACGTGGGGAATAATCTGTAACAACTGTCACAATGAAGCAATCATTTCTACTCCCGAGTTAAAATCACTACAGCGGGGAGAGGGGTGCGGACAGCAATTCATCACTGCTTAGAGCACAAGAAGATCGAACTACCTCGCCTTGGAAACAAATGGAAGGCTTTAAGATACCCATTTAAACTGGCGCCAGTGTTAACTAGTAGTCAAGTCAAATGGTAGTTGTTTCTGTGTTTGTGTGTAGGTGTTTGTATGTGTGTGTGTGTGTGTGTGTGTTCAACTAACTTGCGTATCCATTAAGACGTAAAGTTCTGCAAATGTTTTGTCTTCACTTTACAGAACGAGCTACACGCCCAATCAGCACTTAGCTGGTGGAGAGGCTGCTTTGCAGCTAATACACTTTGCACGAAAATGTTCGAATAATTTTTAGTCTTAAACGCACAATAAATGTATATTCGAGTGATAATTTGGCAGAAGTAAGCCAAAAAATGGAGATCAGGTGTAAGGACTCTAAAAGTTTGAATATCTTCAGCTACCCCTTTGTCTGCATCATTTCAACATTACATTTACGTGTCCAAGGTTTCTATGTGAAGTGTCGTTTTGAAGGCAAGGCAAGGATCAAAACGACTTGGCTAAATGTGTTACGCAGTGCCAATGCGTTTTGGAAGTTGTATAAGCATTGAAAATCGCCATTTCTTTGTCCGGCCTAGTCTACGGAAGATTGCATCTCGTCCTCCGGTTTGAATATATGCCTCAAAGAAGCATAGCGAAACATCCAGTCTCCTTACCTTATTC